CCAGTGGAAGGTGGCCATAAGTATAAAGCAAGGGAGTCTGGAGAGTCCGATGGATCTGGAATGGCTCAGTCGGTGGGTCGGGAGAGTGGCCTGTGTGGAAGAATGGAGTGAGGAATCAGGCCAGGAGAGCATTTTGGACTAAGTCATGGGAGGACTCGAATGCCCTAAGCACTTTGGTGTTATTCTTTTGGCAGCTGGGAGTCATGGGATGTTTGTCATGAGGAATAGAAAATGCAGAAGGGAGATGATCTGATCTGGTAGCTCTGTGTCATAGTGAGCAGAGGGAGAGAGTGTAAGAGTGAAAGAGCTCCATGGGAAGTCTTGGGAGAGATAATAACTTTCAATTTGGTAAGGGTCAGTGTAGATGGTAAGAAAGGCCGTAAGTGTACAAAATCCTTTAGAAAAGGGAGGACTAAGTAACTGATTGGATGTGGAGCCTGTGGGACAGGGTATTGCCAAAGATGTCAAACGTCTGAGGTTTTTGGTCTGGATGACTCATACTTTAACAGAGATAGGGTTTGTCTATTTCCTTCCTCCTTCCATGTTGTCTGTCTTTATAGTCTCTCCTTTCTAAATTATGATTAGACATAAATCATATTCAGATCACAACTGTGAATTCCTACTGGAATATTGCTGTCTGAAATGTAGGCAAAAGTGGGTGTTGGGCTTGGTTATGCACAACTGAGAATCAATTGCATAAAGTTTGTAGAGTGGATGGGATGAGAGTACATAGCAGGAGAAGCCAGTAAAGCAGAGGGTAGAAATATGCAGAACACTGGAAAACACCTACTTCTCAGGATCAGATGGTACATCTGGCTTGATTCAGATATAAGCATTCTTTTTTACTTTAAAGGAGGGAAGTGAGTTTAGCTGTTTCCCATAGTGGTTTGGTTTGCATAGGTGGCACTGAGTGGTCCTATTTCATCTATTTTAAATCCAAAGGATAGTATATAGTTGGACATTTAGAAAACCTATTGAAGAATTGTTATTATTATTCTGAGGCACCCTAGGCCAGGATTCTGTGTGTGTATATGCATATGTGTGTGTGTGCATGTGCATGTGTGTGTCTACACCTCAGAAATTTGTTTCCTCTTTTAATTAAATAAAGCCCATGTTTGTTGGCTTTTAGGAAAGGCTGCAAGGCCCATCTGTTTAACTAGGCAGTTGCTTGATATTGCAGGGGGAGGATTGGCAAGTATAAGTGTGAATTTGAGTACTAGATACAGGCTATTTGAAGCTGAATTTATCTTTAATAAATTCACCCGGAGGTGTTCCACAATGGGTAGTTTGGAAATGATCATAATTTGTGCAGAAGAGTCTTTTCTTTAAAGGTTGAGTGTGCATGATTGCAAGATGAAATGGACCCAGGCAAGTTCATCTTTGACAATGCTCTGTTCCTTCAGGTCTCACCACGGAGGGCAGACTACTTCAATAATTGTTTTGATATGCTGGAAGGCAAAATGGTCTTTCATTTCATATGATAAAGTACTAACTTGAGAGCAAATAATACATAAATATTTTCTTGATGCTGTGCGTTAAAGCAGTCGGCATTTAGGACCAAGGGTTGTCAATCTTTGAGGTTTCTGAAAGGAATTGTAATTTATGACGTGTTAGGGTAAACAGTTGGATTACATTTCTGAAATACGTGTTCCATCAGGTAAAATCATTGTGATTACAGGCGCTGGAACTGTAAGTAAGTTATGTGCTAAAAGGTTGAAATGTAAAACAAGTATGCTTGTGCTTAGCTACTAATCCCTCTTTGTATCTTTGCTGAATAAACTACAAGAAAGGGGGAAAAAGAACGTTTAAGTAATAAAATAGGAAAAGTGCCTTATGCAATTGCAATGAATAATAAGCATAAATACAGTTCAAGATACTCTTTCATCAGTGGTCCAGCCATGAGAGAATATTTCAGAATTCAAAGAACTATGAAAGTCTAAGGAGGTTATTTTAGTTGGGAGTTACTTCTTTTGTTTGCTTTTAAAATTTCTCTTAATTTCTCCTTTATTTTCTGATGTATCCTGTAAAAGCACAGGTGGTTATTTTAACATCCAGCCTCATTGTTCAGAAATGCCTTGCAAATAAAACCAAAAGAAGAGAATGGTTTTAAGAGCTTTGCATATGTTTGACAGCAGAAGATAATAAATGTAAATAAATCTTTAATATTTCCCCTAATTCAGTTTGTGCCATGCAAATGTCAGGACTGTAAAAACAAATCAACAAACATTTGAAGGAAAACAATATACATAACTTATTTTATATATTAAAAACAACTGTCAAACAATTATGACCTCATGTATTAGTTGGTTGTTTTGAAATATTCCTACATGAATTAAAAAATGCTATGAGAGCCTTTGAGCTTAAACATATTGTGTCAATCAAGAGCATATGTAGTATATCTGAAGCATGAGGTAAAAATTTTCTTCATACATTATTTCATAAATAAAATAAGTAATTTGCTTGAAAAACTTTACAAAAATATTTGCGTGTTTATTAAGTTCGCTACAGACAGACCTTTTGTGGTTAATGTAAATGGATTGATACAGACAGCATTTTAATCTGCTGTACTTTAACTTGAAATACAAAAAGTAACATGAAGACTTTTCATTTCTCAGGCAAACTTCAGCAAAATTGAGTCCGTGAAACTTCATTCATTAAATTTTTAAGTGACCATGAATTTGTTGGCTGCAGCACCTGAAGTGTAACTTTATCCTTTCAATTAAAGGACGTAATTCACCCTCAGACCTTTGGCTTTAACGTTTTATATAATACATAATTTTGGGTAGACTTAATGGTCAAGCTTTGTATTATTACAGGTGGAAAAACATCAGCCATCTCAGGGGTTTTGTGCTTGCAAAAGCATGTAATTTAATTTTTTTGAACCAATTTAATCAATGATTGTTTCATGTGAGTAAATTTACACTCTTGACGATTGCCTTAGATTTGAAGGTGACGGAGAGGAAGATCACTTCCTCTTTTAAGATGTCATTTAAATCTTGGGGAGCAGAAGTAGATTAAGGGACTAATCCTTGTGATATATTGTACTATATAAGTATGCTGCTAAGATATAGCCTCAGCTTTTATCAGTCAGATACTAGCTTCAGCAGTTTTAGGTGGTATTAACTCTTTAAATACAAATGGTTTTACAATTCAGATGCATATTTCAAAATTTATTTGATCTAATATTTTTAGTCATGGCTAAAGAATGCTTCACTCAGATCCTTTTTTTTTTTCCTGAACAAAAATGCCTCTCTCTGTGCTGTGCTATACTTCTATAAAAGTTGGTAAGCTAATTTATGGCTTAAAAAATAAAATAAAGGTCTATATTAATATATCACTACATTTTACAGTGGAAATTGGTGGTGGACAGTATTAAATGACTCTAGTGTGGAAATATGCAGGTGGTCATTAGTAGCTGACTGAGATTACTGAAGATTTTGATATTAATTTTCCCTGAATGCAGGACTATACATAAATTAAACTCTATTTCCAAAAATTAATTTAAATTGATGAAAACATATGAATAACTGCAGGCATACAAGGTTCATTGTCATCTTACTTCTTTAGGGAATATATAGTTTGCCTCACTGAAACTATGTTGACTATTCCTGTACCTAACTAGTTTCTCTATTGCAAAAGAAATACTGCTTTTCTATTCATCAAGAGTGTATGGGACACGCTAACAAATTCTGGAATAAAAGTGCTACAAAAAGGAATCACATATCTGTCTAACTAGTTATATTAAGTAGAAATTAGGACCTTACAGAAAATGCAGTTAAGATTCTAAGCCAGTGCGCATGCTTATGTTAAATTTTTTCTTTGTGATTGGCATTTTCACTTCTGATAATAGTATGTTTCAAAAATATACTCATCTTTTACAAGATTCAAGAATCATTTGGTGGAAAATATTTTGGAGGAAATTACTTCATCTTCAGCTCAGATTCATGATTGTACCTCTCTGAAATTCTAATTTTAATCACCCTGTCGTTTGGAGAGATGTTTCTCCTTTTAGCACAAAATTAGTTTTAACTGACTTTCACTAGAGGAAAAACATGTCACGTAAAGTCACCCAACTGAAGAGAATTAAGTCCAAACGCCCAAGAAACGTTTACTTAATTTTTAACACCTACTATACTTTGAATCCTGCCATGGTACTCTTTCATGCATTGTTGATCTTTAGAAGTTAAAAAAAAAATAGAGAGAAAGAGGAAAACCTGCTCTATTTATTAAGTTCAGGTGAAGGGAATTTCACTTAACAATGAGACAATTTGGAGATATGAAGTAGTAAAAAGAATGTCATGCTTAAACCAGAGTTCCTTATCTACTACTAAAACCCCAAAAAACAGCAGGTATTAATCTTGCAGCATTTGAGTAATGTTCCCATTTTATCTATTTCGTGTCACCCTCTTTAAGTACCCACTGAGCTCGCTAGCTTCTTCCTAGACCAGAAAACCATGGCAACCTCGGTCCGCACTTCTCCAACTCGGGATAGAGTTCAAGTTGTCCTCTTCAAGCCCTCTTGCCATCAAGTGAACGGGAAACCGCGACCTGCGACCCAAGGTCCTAAGACTTCTCCGTGTCCTAGAAAAAGGGCGGGGGAGGGGGCCGCCCAGGCACACGCACAAAAACCTGCGCCCTTTAATTGGGAGGGAGCAGGGAAAGTGACCACCGAAAAGGTACCAGCACTTCGAGACTTCTTTTGATCGTTCATGATAGCATCTCCGCGGGTTTGGGGCCCAGCGGTGTGGCCGCCGCGTGCCGGCCCCCATCGGCCCCCCCCATCCCCCTCAAGGTAGGTCCTCGTCTTTATCACATCGCTCCGGCGCTTTCGGTTCTCTCCTCCGATTCCAGCCCGCACGTTCACACGCGGGGGGTGGGGAGGAGGGTGGGGGGGAGAGGCGGGGCGGGAAGGTAGCCGGCTCCCGGCGCCGCGCTGCTCTCATTTGCGGCGCCCCGACTCGGGCGAAGTTCTCGCGCAGGCGGCGGCCGCGGCCGGGGCCGGTCCCTGCGGGCGGCGGCGGCGGGTGCTCGGGGCCGGGCGGGGCGGCGGCGGCCGCGGCGGCGCGGGGACGCGCGCTGTCTCTTTAAGGGAGCTCGGTCGGGGTGGCGCTTTCCTCCGCCAAGGCTCCTTTGATATTAATAGTGTTGGTGTCTTGAAACTGACGTAATGCGCGGAGACTGAGGTCCTGACAAGCGATAACATTTCTGATAAAGACCCGATCTCACTGCAATCTCAAGCGTCCTCTTTTTTGGTGCTGCTCGTTTCTCCAGAGCCCGCGTCCTCTCGACCGCTCTCTCGTCTTCCTATTTTTTTTTTTTAAACAAAAAACAACACCCCCCCTCCCCTCTCCCACCCGGCACCGGGCACATCCTCGCTCTATCTCCTTTCTCTTTCTCTCGCTCTCGCTCTCCTTTTCTCATAGGGGGGGGGAGGGAAGGGAAAGGGGGGGAGGCAGGAAAGACCTTTTTCTCCCCCCCCTCCCCCCCAATCATCCAAGATCAACTCTGCGAACAACAGAGGACGGTTCATGGCTCTGGCCGCCGCGCCACCATCTTTCGGGCTGCCGAGGGTGCTCCCGACGATCAATCAACAGGTAAGGCGGGGAGGCCGGGGGCCGGGGGTGCGGGGCGCGCGCCCCTCGGCCGGGCCCGGGCGCCGCGCCGCGAGTGTGCGCCCGCGCGGGGGTGCGCGGATGTGGGCGATCGCGAGCAGGGAGCCCTGGGAATTAAAAGTGACTTTCTTTGGGGGTGGGGGGGGAGCCGAGGGAGAGTGTGCAGAAAGCCAAGCGCAGGCTTCTCGAGTTTCACATGCATTTTCTTTCTTTCTTTCTGCGCGTGTGATTTCTTTCTTTCTTTTCTGCTTTCTTTCCCCCGCCCCCCCTTCCTCTCCTCCTTATGGTGGGTCTGAGGCATCCGAGCCTTAGAAAGGAGCGACTTCCAACTGCGGTAGCCCCTGGAGTCAGGAGGGTCAAGTTCAGCCGCCGGGGAGGAGGAAAAACAAATCCCCATTTGCCAAAAAAAGAAGTTTGAGGCCGGTGCCCCCTCCCCCTCGCAGCCCCACTCCCCCTCGCTGTCTCTCTCGGGCTGATTTTAATTCTCTCCTACCGGGCGCAGCGGAGGAGCCGGAGGTGGCTGGACCCGAGGGGCCGCCGCCGCCGCCGCTGCAAGTTTTCTGGGGCTCCTGACAAGCGGGGAGCAGACTAGGCACCAGCATGCAGAGTAGTAAGTTGGGCGAACTTGGGAGGGTCGGGAGGGTCTCAGAGAGGGGCCTTCGTGTGGTGCCCAGACTGGGGAAGCAGCCCAGGGCTGGCGTTGGCTTTGAAGAGTTTGCAGAGCCAGGCTTCAAACTTTTTTCCCGTAAAGGCCCAGCTGGGCTGCAGACGGAGGGCGTCGCATCCCCTGGTGCAGCCGCCTCCGCGCGGCGCGGGCAGCTTGGCCCAGGGGTCTGTGCCCCGTCCGTGCCATGCGGCGGGGCCTTGCCGCCAGAGCGCTTCCGTCGGGGCTGAGGAAGGGGCAGACTTCCTCTGCGGTGCGGTGATGCGCCATGTGTCGCGGGTCAGCGGACACTGGACGGTGATTAAATGCCTGACAGCAGTGGGACCTCCAGGCGGACGGGCGCTTCGCCCTCTGTCTGGTTCCTGTTTGGATTCTGGAGAAACGCATCTCTGAAAGGCCAAGGCAAACACCGCTGTCCCTTCAAATAACTCGAGGATTATAGGACCCCATGAATAATTAGAGGGTGAGGCGGAGGTGGGAGCTGTTTGAAGTGCAAAGCTGTTTTTGTGGCTGGGAAAGCTTTTTTGTTAGTACCTGTGTGAGATGGTGGTGTTTTCCCCTTTCCCCAGGGAAGTCGGTACCCTTTTTATGGCCCTACGACTCTAAAGCAATTTAAGTTAGAGGGCGAGAAGGACTGGTGGGTTTCAGAGGCAACCATGGACTTACTAAATTTTAGGTTCTGTTTTACTTCCTCATATCTTTTTAGGCCTCAGAATTGATACTATGAAAGTTTTTGAATAAGAGCGGTGGATCTTAATGATGAGTCAAAATTATGATAGAATATTCATCCTTGTCCTATTTTGGAAAATCACGGCTAGAGTTTTAAGTTGAGGTAAGTGAAGTGAGGAGCTTAGCGGAGAACTTAAGTTGCAGAGAAGTTAGGCAGATTCACTGAACTTTTGTAGATTCACTGAACTTTGGTAACACACCAGGTGAACAGAAAAGTGTCTGGGAGGGATAATAAGTACAAAGGGAAAATAGAGATACGGCCAGTGACAAAACTACAAAGAAGTGATAACTATAGGCCTTGTTATTGGCTAAAATATGACTGTTCAAAGCAAAAATAAAATAGGACGCTTCCAACCACTCTTCAGAGTCCTCCAGCTCTTAAGTTAAAACCTATGCATCTTGCTGGCATCATGTTACTTTCCTGCTGGTTTTAGGAAAAGTTGATCGTTTAGAAAAGGCTGCCAGAGTTAAAAATGCTAGGGGCAGCAGAGGAAAGTAATGCGGGCAGCCAGTTCTTGACGTGGACAAAATGAGAATGAAAGTTTCTGTTGTAAAGTTTCTTACATGCTCTCATTTGCTTAGAACACTTTCTCAGATATTCTACCGGTTAATGTAAAAAAGCAAACTAGCTCTAAAATGGTGTGGGCTCTTTTTCTTTCCCCAAGTATGCCAGGGTTGTGAATAAATATAGGGTTTGTCTGGGAAGATGAAGCGTTTCCTGTAAGTTGCAATGCTTGCAGGACAGTCTGGAAATGATACCAACATTTTGAGGATTTTTTTTTTTTACCTTTAAGTGAAAGTTTATTAATGGCAGGCTTAATCTCAACAAGTTAGAGATGCCGTTCTTAGACTTTATGTGTCCTCAGATTTCACAACTTCCTTTTAAAGCTAGACCCTGAGTGAAAACATCTCTAGATTCAGTTAAATGTACAGGGCCACTAATGTGCTAAAGTTTGACGGTTATTTCTGGATATTAGTAATGGGAAAATAAAACTCCTGAGGGTTAATACAAGTTTAATGTCAATATCATGACTTGATTTTTCTAAATAGGAGGCATTCTGAAGCTTCATTAATACTGTGTCGGCCACCATTGGTGAACTGATGTTTACGGCTGCCTGATATATCAATTATATGTTAGAATATATGTGTGTAGAATACTTTTCCACACGTAATTACTAAGTCTTACGCTCTCCAAATAAATGGGGGAATATAGCAACTTCCAAAATAGTTTGTTACTCCTTTGAATTCTAGAGGCTCTGGAGGGTCTGTGTGGCTCTTTAGTTTTTGTCCTTTGTCTCTTAAAGGTAACATTAAAAGTAAGGAGAAGAGTGTCATAGAAGCTGTGAAGCCTGAGTTGATTACAGAGCTCAGCATTTTGACAATTAATACTTTGAGTATTATAAAACATTTGCTTAAAATTAGGTTGGAACCCATATTAATGTGCTTATCGTGAGTTACTACCATATTTTCACGTGCCCCACCATATTTTCAGTATTATTTTTACTTTTTTTTAAGTCATGTACAAATCCTAAGTTTACTCTGATTTCTACAGTATAGGTCCCTCTAATACACATAAGGAAATCTTCATTCATAAGGAAAAACCTTCAAAAAGGCAGTGAATGCATCTGTGGAAAAGCTGCGTTTAAGATTCTAGTATTTCAGTGATGTTTCTAATTATTTTTTTTATTGTTGTTGTTATTTGATGTGTGTGAGTGTGTATAAGGGGTGTGAGAGAGATACAGAAATACCACAATTTGCAATTAATGATCTGTACATTTCTATTAAGAAATGCCAAAGGGTATTAAGTTTTAATGAACTCTTGTCTTACCTTCTTTGTTGAAGTAAATAAGCATTACTGAAAGTTTGAAAAGGACTTAAATTGTTTTTGTGCTGCAACTTCATTTCAAATTTGTAATTCGCACAAATATCGACAATTAGTCTTCAAATGTTTTTCATAGTGCACATATGTAAAAATTATTATTTTTTACTCAATACTCCTTTGGATAGCAAACAATCATGTAAACAAAAACAACACTATCCTATTGTGTGTAAAACAAAATAGACTTTAGTAAAGTTATGGGCAGGTGTTTATAACTGATTTAAAAGGAGAATTATAATTTTTAAAATAAGGGATGCACTTAAAATAAAATGACTGGTGCATATTAAAGCATATTCTTATTAAGATACTCTCTGGTGTGTAAAATGCAGCCATTCATTCAACAGACTGACAACTTTCCCCTTGGTATTTGCTTTTGCTTAATTTAGTTTCCGCAGGAGAGCTAGTGTGGTAGTCTGCATTTGTTTTTGGCAGGCATAGAAAACTGTAAACTCAGACAGTTCTCTCCCAAATATTGTAGCCCACAAGGTATAATCAGTTTGATAAAAACAGGCAAGTTTTATGGGCTTACTTTCTGTTGTTTATCCTTAGTTGAGCTTTCAGGTAACAAAGATTTTTCTCTCTCCCTCTTTTGCTGGTTGCGACCATGAATGCCATGTATAGCTAATTCTGAGTCCTGTTTACTCATTTATCTTCTTTACTGAAATTTGGGGAAATTAATGGCAGCATATGTAGACTTGGTTTTACGTTGTCTATCTGTGTGATAATTACATTCATCATTTGCTATCATCAGACGGAAGGAAGTAGTGAATTGTTACTATAATGTAATCATGGAATTGTTACGATTTCTGGAATTGTAGGCTCCCCCTTAGATAAAATATGAAGAAACTGTTATACACTTTGCCAAGTAGAAATTTAATCTGATTTTCTAAGGGTGCTTGGAATTGTCATGTATGGAGAAAACTAATATACTTTGCAGTTATTTACCCCAAAATATAATTGAGCAGAGTATTTTTACAATGAACAAAATTATTTGTCTCCTGTAGGCTTTAGCCACTGGGTTTAAGTGAATATGCTAAAATGCCAAGTGTTTTGTGCTACTGTTCAGTAGCTAACAGTACTGCAGAGGGAATAACCACTTTTAAAAATTTATCCTCAAGTATAAGTGGGTCTTAAGCCATTTGTTTATTTGTATAGGATATTCAATTAATTATATATGGCCTTTATAAATAATGTCTTTGATGTTGCTCTTATGGTCACCGTTAGGGTTGTCACGTCACTCTGGGGTTCCCAGATCCCTGGCAACTGAATTCATTGGTCTTTGATTTGGTTCCCTGATGGGTAGAATGTAGAACTTGATTTAGGGTAGAAAGTGAACTTGGTGCTTAAGGGAACCTCTTTACTGAACTTGCAGAAGGATCTATGGATGAAAATTACTTGAATTTTTATGAGTTAGGTGGAGAAGCCTGACTAGTGACTGCAGCTGTAGTAGCTATTCTAGTAGCAATGTCTACTTTTTGTCATCCCACGTTTTTTGTCTCCAAGAGCACAAATCCAAGTAACAGAAACACAAATGAAATTATCTATGTACTTCAAATTTGAAGCATCATTGGAAATCCTTTTCTGATTCAAAGCAGTCATTGAAATACAAATACCACCAAACACCCCAGAGAAGACATTAGGGGTACATGTTTTCGTCCCTAAGTATGTTTCATTAAAAATAAGGAAGAAAACTTTTAATTTTTAAAACGT